TGATGTTATAGGAAGTGTTAGTAGTTTCTATTGAATTTCTGGTCAAGTCCAATTTCTCATCAGTCCAATTAAGTATAAAAAAAGATCTATTTCCGGCTGGTTCTTCCCATGTCAGAAACACAGATGATGTTGTGATTTCAGACACTCTGAGATTCCTGATCACATCTGGCTCTGTGTGGAGAAAAGAAGGGCAAGTCATCACTGTTGATGAAAAGGTAAGTATACAAGTATGAGTGATACAATTATGAATTGATAAAACAATTGTAATAAGGCCAGAATTCATGAGTCTGGGATCTCAAGATGTTGCTGTATAGTTTTCTGCTAAAGGCAAGAAAATGTGAGATTATTTCAAGGCTGAAGGTTCAGCAGATTCACTCAGATTAAACATCCATTCAGAGGCCTTACTGGTATACAGTGAAATCTGATTGGCTCTCCCCTCGGTCACATGATCAGCTGCAACTGCAAACACTCTGAATGTGTACTGTGCTCCGGGAGTCAGATCATTTATCTCGATGGAGGTGTTTTCAGCTGTCACACTGTTATTTTCATATTCTACACGGTAATGGGAGCTTTGGCCATTTGGTTTAGTCCAATTTAGTAAGACTGAGGATGTTGTAATATCAGCAGCTGTGAGGTTCATAATGACGTCAGGCTCTGTGAGTAAAAATGACAGACATTTAGGGATTAAAATGTGAATCCTGAAATCTTGTGAAGGTTCAAGAGTACACTTAAAAGTAACAGGAAATGTGAAAAACATACTAGTATAATTTGAGGTAACCAATGATTCTCCTTCTGTTGATTTATCTGCAGTAACAGCTGTGATGATAAATGTGTAATTGACTCCAGCAGTAAGACCATTGATGTTATAGGAAGTGTTAGTAGTTTCTATTGAATTTCTGGTCAAGTCCAATTTCTCATCAGTCCAATTAAGTATAAAAAAAGATCTATTTCCGGCTGGTTCTTCCCATGTCAGAAACACAGATGATGTTGTGATTTCAGACACTCTGAGATTCCTGATCACATCTGGCTCTGTGTGGAGAAAAGAAGGGCAAGTCATCACTGTTGATGAAAAGGTAAGTATACAAGTATGAGTGATACAATTATGAATTGATAAAACAATTGTAATAAGGCCAGAATTCATGAGTCTGGGATCTCAAGATGTTGCTGTATAGTTTTCTGCTAAAGGCAAGAAAATGTGAGATTATTTCAAGGCTGAAGGTTCAGCAGATTCACTCAGATTAAACATCCATTCAGAGGCCTTACTGGTATACAGTGAAATCTGATTGGCTCTCCCCTCGGTCACATGATCAGCTGCAACTGCAAACACTCTGAATGTGTACTGTGCTCCAGGAGTCAGATCATTTATCTCAATGGAGGTGTTTTCAGTAGTCACACTGTTATTTTCATATTCTACATGGTAATGGGAGCTTTGGCCATTTGGTTTAGTCCAATTTAGTAAGACTGAGGATGTTGTAATATCAGCAGCTGTGATGTTCATTATGACGTCAGGCTCTGTGAGTAAAAATGACAGATGTTTGGGGATTAAAATACAAATCCTGAAAACTTACTGTAGTGAAGATATGAAAGGCATCAGTCAATATGAATATCCAGCTAGGGGAGTCCAGAAACATTTACGTTGAAAACATACTTGTATATTTAGAGGTAACCACTGATTCTCCTTCTGTTGATTTATCTGCCGCAACAGCTGTGATGATAAATGTGTAATTGACTCCAGCAGTCAGATCAGTGATGTTATACCATGGGCTATTGGTTGTTACATGATTAGATGTTTTCTCATCAGTCCAATTAAATTTAAAGAAATCTCTATTTCCGGCTGGTTCTTCCCATGTCAGAAACACAGATGATGTTGTGATTTCAGACACTCTGAGATTCCTGATCACATCTGGCTCTGTGTAGGAAGAGAAGGACAAATCATAAATGCTGGTGAGAAGTCAAGTCAAGTCACCTTTCCTATTGGTTGTTACATGATTAGATGTTTTCTCATCAGTCCAATTAAATTTAAAGAAATCTCTATTTCCGGCTGGTTCTTCCCATGTCAGAAACACAGATGATGTTGTGATTTCAGACACTCTGAGATTCCTGATCACATCTGGCTCTGTGTAGGAAGAGAAGGACAAATCATAAATGCTGGTGAGAAGTCAAGTCAAGTCACCTTTATTTGTATAGCGCTTTATACAATTTTGGTTGTGTCAAAGCAGCTTTACAGTGTTAAACAGGAAACTAGTTTGTCAATAATGCAATAAGACAATAACACTCATTTTTCCAGCTAAAGTCAGAAGTGGAGATAAACAAGTAAGATTGATACAATTAGGAATTTGTAAAGCATTTGTAGGTGCTTAAGATGTTGCTGTATAATTTTCTGCTAAAGGCAAGAAAAGGTGAGATTATTTCAAAGCTGAAGTTTCAGCAGATTCACTCAGATTAAACATCCAATCAGAGGCCTTACTGGTATACAGTGAAATCTGATTGGCTCTCCCCTCGGTCACATGATCAGCTGCAACTGCAAACACTCTGAATGTGTACTGCGCTCCAGGAGTCAGATAATTTATCTCGATGGAGGTG